CGCCGCCCGCTCCTCTCGACGAGAAACACGACTCACGTGAGTTACACCACACCACATCACATCCCGTCACGCTACAACTCACCGACACCAACATCACATATTAGCTTACCACACTTATATATGCTTTATCAGGCGGCTTTACATTGCGTGTGATTCTGCAGCCTTCGGTTCTTCACAACCATTAGTTAAATTACGCATTGTGGAAACCCTTTACACATCTGCTTATTATTCTGTAAAAAATATGATACTCAAAACGCATTCCACTACCATAACTAGTACCAACTCAATCTGGAAAACTTCTAGGTTGTAGATACTTTTAGGAATGTTTAGGCCGAACGCAAACCGCGCTACACCACTACACGCATCAGAAAACCGAATAACAAACATAAAAGTGATCTTACTTCTGATATATTCATTACGTCATCGAATCGGATCATAGAACAAAATTAATTAATCAACATGTTCTTAAAGCCGTGTCAATAATTGATAAGAAATATTTTTGAATCAAATGGATAAAACACGAAAATCTGAATAATATAACTTCTTATGTTGTTTTTTGTAGTTTAATTTGTGTCCAATATACTTGTGAATAAAGGCTAACGTAACGTCGATCTGATCATCCTTATGAGATCATTTTTATCTTGTTACTCGTCCTTTTATACCAGACCCCGCACTTCATTGAATTCATTGTATTTGTGTCCAACTTGTTTTTCCAATGCTTTTGCTTTTCATAACAGTTTTTCATTGAATGTATGCGTCTCGTCAACACTTTAATTTATACAAATGGAAAAAACAGTTTATAGTTTGCTGTACAAACTTTAATATAAATAAGTGGGCACTCTATTTAAGCCTGCGTCTGAAAACAAACGACAATAGAAGGAAAGTATTGACACAGCTGTTTACAGAAAAAGCTTTTTTAAAACGAAAAACAATAGTCGAAGAAACTTATATCTCCCAGCTCAGTATACTGATAATTGAAGACCGCTTCGTTCGTGCTCGGCGATACCTCCTTTGCTTTAGTTATTTGCGAAAAGGATTTCCAACGAAATATACGTACTGATGAACTATAAGTCAGACATCAAAATATATTCCAGATCAAATTGTATACGATTTCCTGGAATGCTTTATTTCATGGAACATAGTAGTAATTACTATTCGTTTGTCTATTGTCGTGCCTGTGTTAGTCCGAAGCTAACAATGTGGTTTACAGAACGAGAGCAGCGTTTTATTTACGAACGAAGTCGATTTAGGAAATTAAAAGTAGTTTTGTTTGCGGTGTCAGCTTTAATTCGTCAGGGTTCATTAACTGCTTTGAGCTTGTTTTATGCTCAGATTGAAGATTGCTTTCTGAATTTTAAGGTATATTAGTTATATTAAATTATATATTAGTTATATTACATTTTAGTGGAACATGTTCAAATTCTGATTAACGCAATTAATAGTATTTTTTGTAGAAGTTTACGTATTTTACCGATTTCAGCTTCATGCTTGTAATCAATTAAAGAGTAGTTTCGGAAAAACAGAGTGTGTAAACATAGATAGAATAGGTATTTGTAAATGTAGAGGCGCGGCAGCAATTTGATGTAGAGATATACTTAATAAGTATATGTAATGAAACAGTAGTTTATGTTTTGTGTGTGTGGGTGTAGTGTCGGAGCAGTCGTCGGGGGCCGGGGAGGGCGGGCGGCCGCCGCCCCCGCTGCCCCCGCCGCGCTTCCCCACCCCCGGCAACGTCTGACACTGGGAGATAGCTGTGCATGCGCCGGCGCCGCTGGTCGCCCCCATCAAGGCCGCCGCCAACTTCTTGTTTCATGGACTGAAGCGCCAAGCCGCGGGCCGCTCTATCACTACCACACAACAAATGTTCTAAATCGATGTGATTAGGTATAATAACGAAACTTAATTATAAGTCACGGCGTAAAATTTACATATATAGATTCTTTAGTCGGTCATATTATGACGTAATTTATGAAATGCCTAGGTACCGTGTAAAGTGCCATTGGTTTCTTATACCCGTTTTAAGTAGGTCTTCATGAAATTTTAATAAAAAAATGTAAGAATTAACTGATCAAATTTGATTGAATTGGAAGCGAGGGCAATGAGAGCCATGTGAGCTCCGTTCGTGGACGGGCCGTTGAATGATTTTAGCTTTAGATATATATAAAAGTTAACTGTTAAGTATTTGATGGTGATGAGGATGATAATATATTCTATATGATAAAAATAAAAGTAGATTTTTATCGAACAAATAGGATGCAATGACTGTGAGGAAGCGGTGCGTTGTGCGGGATGTGTATACGCACGGGTCATTTGCCAACACATAGGTAGATAACTCTAATATATGTACGTCACTTCGAGTACGTTAGACCGAGATCCGTGGTCGGTAGATTGACATCAACTATTTCATAGTCCGGTACTGAAAAGCACTACAAATAGTACGATAGGAGCAATTTGTCAGGAGAATGTGTCGTCACACACAACCCTATGGAGAGGCTCGTTGCCTACCTTTACTTAGGAGTGATATAATCAGAGGAGTAACGTTAATCAAATCCAGCTTTTCTGGAATAACGTAAGTATGGACTTAACTTATACAACTTTAGGACTTGATAACTTCTTAAGCAATCCTTACCTAATGTCATACTTGCCCATAATTCCTAAATCTATACGAGCTTTCTACTGACAAAATCCCAGCTTTGCTTCCAAAATGATGTAGTTCTTCCGACTATAGGATCCCGAACAACAGGTTCGTACTCGCATCGTGCTTACATTTCAATCGTACACACGACACGACTCGACACGTCACGTCACGACACGTCACGACACGACACGATGGCTCATTTACTGTCACGGACAAACGTAAGGAGTATATTATATTATATTATGCTGTGACTATTATAATGTTGATTTTTTTATACATAATTATATTGTTTTATGAATGTTTTATTCTCCTTTTACTGATGATTATTATTATATCTATTGTGTAATCAATTAAAGTCATATCTAAAATGACCGTAATAAATATAATTAAAAAGTAAGTTATAAATAAATAATTGTATTATTATAACTATTATTGGACAGCTACATTTTAATTGCAGTTGCGGGAATTGAACGTATCGCATATATATGTATATGTATACATGTCGATGTACGTATATATGTATATATGTGTATGTGTACATTAAACAATATTAGTAAATTATACACAATTATCACACCTGTACCGTACCACATATTATGTTCCAGTTACGTTTCATAATAGTTTATAACATATTTTTGTAGCTGTAAGACATAATAAACAGATATGTTATCTTTTTATTTGATGAAAAGGTTTAGATTACGATAAGTTATACAATTTGTAAAGACTTTTAACAATGTAAAGCTTTTAATCTTGTACGCTCCTAGAAAACAATCGTTTCATTATTTATTAGTTAGGGTTCAGTAGATACTACAGGGTTGTTCCGATCTGTTCGTCCGTGCATCCGACAAATGCTCAATTCAATATTAAGATATGGCTCTCTGGTCTGTTAGCGTGTCGCTTGTGTCGCTTGTGTTGTACCACAAGCACGGCCTAATGTAATGTATAAAACTGGCTACTGACTCGTGCCGTTGACTGATCACTGTGAACTTTACCTTACTGCCATTTATTAATTAAAATAACCTTTAAGATTATCAAAACAAAGAATTATTTTCTTGATGTCTGACAGCCCTAGTAAGTAAGCCAATAGATTAATTATGACTTCTTCTCTTCAAATTTCTCGCTCTCTCCTCACTTTAGGAACCTATTCAGAATAGTACACGGGACGGCGACTACCCTACTGTTAAACTGCAACAGCCGCCAGTTGGTACTTATGTGTTGGAACTAATTGTTATAATGTTAGCGAAGTTTAATAAATAAATATAGATTACCATAAAGCATCTTAATTACATAGCAATGTATTTAAGGTGTCATTTTCATGTCAATTACTTACGATAAAATAATATAATAAAATAGAAAATTCAATACTTACAACTCATTATTCTAAATTAACTTAACAATCTTTATCATATCCAATTTTCTGACTGTAAACCATTATATGTTTTTTTTTATATTATGCTAATTATGAATGTACAAATATGACAAAAAAAATTGGAACAAAAATTATACCATAATTATGTTAAAAATAATTGGTTGTCTATTACTTGTTAAGTCTGTATCTCAAGAACTATGTATGTATCTATTCGTCCTATTTGATGTTTGTTTAAATATCTCGAAATGAGTAATTAAGTGTATGTGCCATAATAAAAAGAATAAATCATACAATATAACACAGATATTTAAATTATAAGTTTTCTCATTTCACTTAGTAATCAAACTCAGTATGAAATATTAATCAATCTTAAAAGTAGACATTAATATATTTGCATTCTGCATTTAAAGAATAATATTGTACTTTAAATATCCGTGTAGTTGAAGACTGTAATAACAGAAAGCTGTGGTTTGCCTCTATGAAATATTAGGATATAAGTTAACGAAACATATACAAAATTCTAAAGTATATAGGAACAGTATTTGTAGCGTGTGGTCCCACCATCAACTAGGTAAGATACTTATGTAACTACAGTTATGATATAAAATACATTGTTATCCGTTTAGAGAAAGTTCACAGGTCGTCATCGAACAAGTTAAATGTGAATTAATATTAGGTTGGGGAAAAATAAATCCAATGTTTTCTTTTTATCATATATTAATGAAAATATGATCTATAAAAATCATTTTCTTTCTTTTAAAAAAAATAACAAAAAAAATTGTGTTCCGATTCCCCAACCCAATAAATGTTATACATTTAGAATGTTATCTAGGTAATGAGGAAAAGTTAGTTTGACACATTTAATTGTATGCTCAAGAGTATTTATAATATAAGCAATTGTAGAATAGATATTGGATTGGTTGTTCCACTGGTGTAGAAGACACGACATTTCGTGTTCGCTTATTTGTAAATAGAGTTGGAGACTCGGCGAGTGGCGACACTGGATGCACGGATGGACAGCTCACAGGGGAATGCATCCCCTTTCGCTCGCAAACGACACCCTAAATCCTTCTAAAGCACTATCCACGTTAACGCCACGATTATCTGAAAAGCATTTGAGTTTCAATACTCGGAGATTACTCCGCTACTTGTACAAAAGGAACTTGTAAAGTTTTATTGTAACTAATACTTGTTATAAAAACTTTAAAATAAACCGACACGATGTTTTATTTACATTCGTATGATGCACCTATTCAAATAATTTCACATAATACATTATTACATCAAGAGCAATTTTAAGAAAAAAAAAATATATACAAAATCAAATATCTTGTCTCTACCTATCTATGATCATTGTCAGCTGCCTATTCTTGCCCTACTTATGAAGGGTTGAGGCAACAAAGTTACGGAAATATAACCAGCCTTTATAAAAGGAGGTGGAAGAAAAAGGTGGAATACTAGGGCCGCAATAAAGGGGATGGGTTAGGCTATGACACCATTGTACACCAGGTACATCGTGATCGTGTTTATGGGAGATCGTAATGATACTACTAGTGCTCTGAAAAATCTACCTATTACTGCAACAGGATTTCCTGGTGATCTACCGACAAATTCTATCGAATAATTATTCTGAAATATAACATACAAAAGCATCATTTACCTGACAAAAATAACATCAATCGATCAACAAAAATACAAAATATTAGATTATGATAACTATTGCTAATATAAATAAAAAAAAACCAACTGGTAGCTACCACTGTATTCCTACTTGCAATTATAATGTCGTTTTCCTTTTTAAATCATCCACCAAAATTCTAACTAGTACCGCCATCTATTGTCTGATGTTTGCTTCTACTTACATTATCCTGGCAATAGATGTCTCCACTGACATTGCTTTATTTGCAACAGCGACATCTAGTAAAGCTACTACTTCCACATTATAAATCAGCGCCATCTATTAGCCCCTTAAACATTTACGACTAATGTTTCTAAAATCTATAAAATTTGAAATTTGGCAGAACAAGTAAAACGAAATATATTTTATGACAATTTATTTAATACACACAATCAGTGACAAAGAAATACTTTGCTTGAGATCTGGGATTCTACTGAGAATACTGCACTTTTATATTTTTATGTGATTCCGTCAAAATTCACACACAAATAAGTCATTTAAACTACTAACAGTTAACAGCTTAAAATAAATAATCTAGCAAGGAAACTAAGAGTACGACATAACAACCAAACATTAATTTGTATAAATTTCTTTAGTTAATTTAAATTTACAAGTAAAAAATAAATCGCTTTATTATTTATACTACAAATAAAAAATTACTAGATTTAGCTAGCGACTCTGCGTGGAATTTAAGAAAAACAATAGTAAGTAATCTATAGATCATCCAGATTATACTTTACATCTATGCCAAAATTTTGGGCTTGGGATCTATTCAGCCATTTGGTCTATAAAATTCAACAAACATCCATCTATCTTTCTAAATTTTTACATTTATTTATTACTAAGAAGTAAGATTAAATATAAAAGTGAATTGACAAATTTTGATTGACAAAATTACTGGAATAATTTGGATGGTATCTATTTGATGAGCTTTTAGACTTACAAACCATGAAATTACTTTTACCACCATTTTTTGAAAACAGTAATTACAACATGATAAAATAAATCAATAATCCGATAAAATATAAATCATATAGTATAATGTCTTACGAAAGTTTTAATAAGTTAATATGAAAAAATGTTGAAATTACGATTTTACTATTTACATTGTCCATATCTCAAGAATAATAATATAATTAGGAAAATTTTAATTACACTTTATAACAACTTCTGCAGACTGAAAGGTTATTTCTAAAAAAATATCCATTGAACTATTATAATGAGACAAAATTAAACTAAGAACAAAAGTATTAACATTAACAATGTTTATTAAACATGAATAATACATTTAATAATGTATAAGACATAACTAGAAGCTAACAAATACAAGATTTAGGTGAGATGAGATATCTTATATAAGACCTAGGTAACATTTTGAGATCTGAGTTTTTTTGTGCAGCCTGTTCGATCTACTCATGGCTCCTAGACTTATTGGTAAGTATGGGATACAATAAGTCCCCAAAACATCTTAAATTAATTAGTACCATTGTGGTTATCTATCCCGAGGAGTTCCACAAAACGCCCCAAAAGTAGTTTAGTGTAGCTGTCCAAACGGAAAGCTGTGGACTCTAGTGCTGACAGTTCAACATATATTTTATCAATTTGCTCAAGCAACGGCTTAACTTCTACTTGATCTGAAATAAATGGTAGTTTAATCAATAAAATATAACATCTTTTATATAAATAGGTTAATAAATACTAAGAACACATTTTAAAACATCTTCAGAAAACACTTTTTTTCACAATACTATCAGATCAGGTTTAGGTTTTCATTACTAGAGAATTAAAAATATCTTGCACTTTAAATTTTATTTTGGAATGATTAAAATGATAGAACATAAACTTACATTTATGATTGCTGTCATCTAATGACTTGTTGAGATTTACTGCCAGGGATTGAAGACTTGCATATTTAGTGATGACCATTCTGTTTGTCTCTTCTAAGAGAACATAATTTTCCTAAAACATCACAAATTATGTAAAATACTGCACCTGCTGAAATCATTTTGTGTATTATAAAACATAACATAACATTTTAAATATATAAATAAACTGTCTCGTTCTAAACTATTTAATAAGACCCTTTACCAAAAATTTTTAACACCCAAAATCACTGGCAATAATCTTATGAAATAGTCAACCTGATCAGTCATAGTTTGATGATTTGAAAAACTAAAAATGCTCAACTAAACTGCTCAATAACCATATTTTATAAACTAATCCCATAATATAAGACATGTTTCTACAACATTATGCATTTATGTTACCTGACCAGTCTCAATTTCTCCTTGAAGGTAGTCGTTAGTACGTTTAAACATCTGCGTTGCTAATCGGCTAAGGACAGGATCGTGTGGATCTAACAAATCAAAACTGGAACAACTCGGAAACATACGTAAATCTGTAATAAATTAATAATGTTACAATACAGATGAATTATGGCAAAGCTATCCTAGATTAAGCATTTAAAATTCAATAGTTAAAATTACAAATTCTGCTGATTATTGATTTAAAACATATACTTTACCTTTGTTTCTTCGTTCACCAGTCCAAGATTCCTTTTCTTCAGACATTATTTTTTATTTATTAGTGAATTTTTTGGTGTGAATTAACTTACTGATTATTTCTTAACTTAATACTTGGTCCACATTCAACCTTGCTTGACAACAAGTTGAATAAATAAATATTAAATATAGATAAATCCAATTCAAAACCTTGAGTTTGAGTATTCGCCGGATGGTGTTTTGAAATTTGACAATAACAGCTTGCAGTCTTGCAGTGTTGCCATTACTGACCTCTACAATTAATCAGGCTATAAGACAAAATATTTTGTGCTTATTAGAATTTCGCCATTATGGCACTGATGGTCAGGATTCGAAACGGTGGTGAGATTGCGAACTAACAATAAAGATAGAACTACCTGTCATTTACCACAGACGGGCGCGTATAAATCGGAACGAAACAAAAGCTGTCGATTACAAACAATGACCGAAAAATAAATCAAATGTATCGAAACCCAGTGATGGTTATTTTCTACCATCATCATCATCAGCTTTTATCAGCCCACTGCAGAATTGTCTGCTCCCAATGTCTTGTATAGAAAATGTTTTTTTAGAGGGATTTCCAATTGTTTCTGGTTAGTCAAAGCTTGAATTAACTGTTACTAGGATAAAGTAAAACTCCAAAAATGTTGGCAAGAAAAACTGTACTATATTCATTATTTATAGTAATGTTCTCTTTATTTAGAAACAAATATTAAGTACGAGAATTATAAACCTTAAATGTAATTGAGAAATGTAATACAGTGTTAACACTTCAAAGAAACCGATAGATAGCATTTTAATTATATAAAGATATGTCTATATTCCTTGAGGTAAAATCAATTACAAGCATTATCTCTTTAACACAAGCAGAAATTCATATACAATATCAATGTTTGGAAAATTAGGTAAATGACATTAATTTTAACCAGGTTCATTGTAACTAATCACGGCAAAGTGTTTACACTGTATCAGTAAAACCATCATAAAAAAAAACAATTTATTCAAGTACAAAAAGATAGTTCTTATATAATATCAAGTAAATATTTAAAAATCGTATACTAAGATAGTGAACGGAGGTGGGCAACTAACAGGGAGGACTTCTATTAAAAAATAAAACTCACAACCTTTAGGCAAATGTGTATGCTAAATGAATCAATTAGGTGTATCCTTAATTAACTTTTTACCTATAATTGTTTATATTTTTCAATAAACAAAATGGTAAAATACCTGCGTTCAAATAAATGTGCTAAAGTCCTACCCTGTTGTTGTAAAGAAACAGTATTGAATACTGTCTAAATTAAGGAGACTGACCATTTATTATTTTGCACCAGTAACAAACTAGAAACTTTATAATTATCGACTTTCTTGTTTTGGACAGATTTATTTCGTTGTAAAAAAAAACAAAAAATAGGTATGTATATGTGTCAAAAATTTTCATTGCATTACCTTAAATTTTTTCTCACTCATCAAGCCATTAGAGATTTACGTTTTTTTTTTTTTTATAATAGGATAAACACTTAAAATCCTACAGATTGAGTCGCATTTTACTAAGTTACAATTTGATAAAATGCAATTTAGAAAAAAAATAAAGTCCTTACTATAATGGCCAATCTCCTTTGTTTAAAACTTTAAACTTATTTAAAATGAATTAAAAACAGTCTCAATTATCAATCGTTTAGTCTTAATATGTCGAATACTGCAGATGATCAGCGTGAGAAAAAAGCCTAAAATAATACACTGCCTGACAGAGATCACTAATAGAGATTACACTATCCTGTTACAATAGATCAGTCGTGTTTCTAGTGGTCCGTTGTTTGTTGCAATTTACATAGCATATATAAATTCTATAAGAGTTAACAATCCAAGTTAGAAACATATTATTCTGAATGATGAATTGTTCTAAAACGGAACACCAATGCTTCTTACTGAACATTCTTAGCCTACATCAATTCTTTGTTCTTAAGTATTTTAACATGCTACAAGAAATTAGTAAAATATTAAATGTGTTTTACACACAATGAAGTATGTATAATATGACAATGTGATTGTGGCCTTTGAGGAGAGAATAGAGTAAATGACCTCATTATTATACTTATTAATTATATCATGCAATGCTGGAATGAATATTTTAAAATGTATGGATGTTTTTAAGGGTTAAAAACTGGCAACAGAGACAACTTTTTCTGCACAGCCTCAATGGAATTGTCGCAGAGCAGTAGAGTGTGAGAGTATCCCATTGTCACTTGTGTTATATTGAGGCCGTCCATTTTGCTAACTTCTTTGGGCTTTGCCGTCGACTTGTTGATTTCTCCGGTTCCCTGTTTAAAGATATAACATATTTAATTACCTATATCATAAATTTGATGATTGATACATAAATCATTATTTAAATATGTTTTACGGCAAGTGGGACTGTGTTAAAAAGTTCCTACGACTGCAAATTTTGTACTAGGGCTTTCTCTTGATTTGTTTCATTTTCTAGGACCTTAGCTCTTTATTTCTGTTACTTTGTTTATAAGATCGTTTCGCATCGAATGCGTTAACACAAAGTGTTGTTTTAATTAATTTGTGAATCAATAAATGTCTAGTGTATGTTACTTACAAGTTCTCCATACGTGGGGGAAACGCCCCAGGCGATGAGGGAGTCATCAGCCGCAATCATTATGGACGTATTGCTTGTCCCTACAGTACGAATGTTCCAACCTACGAAAAATATTTAATTTATTGATATTTCTAGCTGTTCTTGTGTAGCTTCATGCAATTACAAAGAACGTGACATTTGTAAATGTCGAAATACAAATGACAACGAAGGCCTTTGCCATCGGCTAACAATTACAGTTACCATGGCAATCTTGCTTCTTTACTGCTTGCTCATTTCTTATTACAAAAAGAATTATTCAATGTACTGTGATTTTTGACATCCTACATTTCAAAGTGTGTGTTTACACTTTATTATATTAAAGTATAGATCAATTTCTTACCAGTAAGATCCAGGACAGGCTTAGGATACATATTGGCTTCTCCAGTTCGTTTAGTCTGCCCAAACATGAACAGCATGCCTGCAATAAAGATATCATGATATTAATATGAATACAATATTATTAAGCAAACGAAAGCAGGTCATCTGCTGATATCTACATATGTGCAAAATTTCATAGAGATCTGGAAATAATACATATCCATCCATCTAAAGTATATAACTGTACATTTTGGCCTTTATGTACCGAAGCTGTTTAAATTCAATATATAATATGAGATAATATAATTATTACATTACTACCTATTGCCCGCGACTTCGTCTGCGTGGTATTAGAAAACATACGAACTATGTAAATAACAAAAAACTATGTTTCCCTTGGAAACCGGGCACTTTTCGGGAATGAACCTTATCACATGGTTACTCCAGACTTTGTTTTATATCTGTACCAAATTTCAATAAGATTTGTTAAACCATTGCAGAATTATGGACTAAACATTTATATACAACATTAATGCATCCCACGGGAATCGTAATTATTTCCGGGATAAAAAGTAGTCTGTGTTCTTCCAAACTATGCTCTACATCTGTGCCGAATTTCATGGAGATCCTTTCACCCGTTTAGGCTGCTACTCTACTAACTCTAACAAACTTCCGTGCATCCATCTTAACTATTGCATTTATAATAATATATAGTATGATTATGTGATAGTTACCATGTTCATTGACAGCGAGGCTGTATGTAGCGCCGCAGAATACGGATCGCACGCCGCGCGCTTGGTGGTCGAAGTACTTGATGAGACGAGGCACACTCTCGTCCTTCTGTTCAGCGTGGCCGAGACGACCGAAACCACCGAAACCCCAACTAAACGCACGCTTCTTAGAATCAATCGCCACCTGTAATATACAAACTTGTCAGATATCTTCATATTATAAAGGTACAGTAGACATCAACTAGTAAGGTAATTCAGATTATCTTCAAACAGCTGTGCCGATTTTGACTAGACTTTCACTGTAGGGTAGCTGACATGGACGGGCATGTTATAGGCTACTTTTTTTTTAAATTCCGCGCTGTCAAAATGGCGACCGGATCGCTATCTCGGGAACGGATGGACCGATTTGGACGGGTTTTTAACTGGAAGGTAACAGGTAGAAGGTAGATGCACGCAGGAATGTAATGATTTTTTTTTAAAATCCGCGTTGAAGTTTGCGGGCGACAGTTCTTCAGTTATAAAAAAAAGTCCATGTAAACCATGGTTAATTCAAAACTTTGCACTCAACATATCATTAGGTGGGACAGAGGTCAAGCATTTGCTTATAAACAAAAAATGGTGTTAAATTGTATATTTGAGAGTATACTGTAAGATTTTCAGTTGTAAATAGTTGAGAATTTAGTAAATCGTTATTTTGGTGTTAAGATAGCTTACCGTATGATTATTTCCACAAGAAAAGTCGACAATATCGACATCCTTCACGGCAGTTACATATCCCTCTTTGGACTTCTCATAAAAGAATCCAATGTGCTTAGGAACTGTCTCAAAGTGATACGACAGCTTCGTTGATGAGACGAAGTACTTTCCATCAGTGTTATGACCTACAAAAACAATCATAATGTTGTTTACTGTAAAGGAGCTACATTACAATAATTAAAAAAAAAAACACATTAAATTATTTGGTAGAAAAGTATAGTAACATCTTTACTTCTAAGTTTACAATGATCTATACTAATACTATAAAGAGGAAATATTTGTATTTCTTTATTTATTGAAATAACTCAAAAACTACTGGGCCGATTTGAAAAATTCTTTCACTATTAGAAAGCTAGGTTATCAGTGAGTGAGCAATATTTTTCAATTATTATTTTATGGGAGCAAAGTCGCGTGCATCGGGTAGTATCATATAAAAATAAATAAAAAAGTCAGAGATAAGGAGATATTATTTAACAAAATTGATTTTACCTAATTGGCCAAATTCCGGCAATCCAAATGAATGCAGAGCGCCGTTACAATCCAGTATCATTGAGAATTCAGCACCGCAGCCAACCCTCACTATTGGTGCTCCACTAAAAAGTTAAATTATCTTACTTATACACAGATAACAAATTCAACAGCAGAAACATGCATTTATTACAGATTTCTTTTAATTCAAATTAAAGTTTACATTAAACTGTAAAACATTTTCTAATTGTAATACTTACGAATGTCTCACTCGTGTGGGCTCCAGAATCTGAGCGGTGGTATTACCAATACCACATTGTCCACATTTATTCTCACCACAGGCATATACTGCACCCGTATCTGCAATTAAATAAGTATTTAAGCTCCCACTGTCATAAACAATACATTTGAATTTTAAGCCAATCAGGAATATAAAATAATTTGCCCATTTCAGCATAAACATTGGCCGGAATTGATTTATGTAGAGGTTGCAATTTTTATATAAATTACTATAAAATAGTTGTTATGTATACTTACATAACAACTGTTTTATTCACACAATTACATAGAAAAATAGTATACACAAAACTGATAAATCATCCAACGGGTGCATAAATACATTATCAGAAGCAATTCATTAAAGTTAATGTTTGGTTAAGCTGTATTTTGTTGTATTAAGACATATATCAACATAGGGATCAAGTATTATCTAAGTGTTTCTCAATTTTTTTTAAATAAAGATGATTTTGTATAGGCAGTACAGTGTAGTTTGAAGCTAAAGTATTGCAGTAGTATAACAGTGGTCTTACATACCTGTTACAAACAGAGAATGATTCCTGCCAGCTGCGGCATGTATGATGTTCATGCCTTTCAAACGTGGAACCAGTTCTGGTACATTACGAGTGACAGTATCACCGAAGCCAAGTTGACCGCATGTGTTACGACCTATGAAAAATTAATAACTTTTTACAAATGAAATAGAAACAGCCTGTTGTTAAGGTTAAAATTTATGTTAAACAGCAATATGTTAAATTAAAATCTAATGAAACTACATGTTAATTATAATGTCACTATAGAATACTAACCAAATGTATAGGCATCGCCTTCTTCAGAGACTAAAATGGAATGGCCAGCGCAGCATCCGCTTACAATCAGGCGGTACTGTAAGTTATAGTTAATTTAAAAACCAAGGCTACTAATTATATTAACATACTATAATAATAATATTATACACTTCACACTATGACATACTAAATTAGTAGTAAAGTTAAAGTTAGTTAGTTTAAAAATAAGTATAATTTTAAAAGTTATTAACATACACTTACAACTTAGATACATACCTTGCGATCAGTAAACTTGTGGAAAGTGAAGAGGTTGGGCTGAGAACGCTGGGATGTAGTTTTATCTCTCTTAGCCACCATATCCCAGGTAACAAGTCCCGCAATCAACAGGACACCAGGTGTCTTGTAAAATGTTTGTAAGAGCTCCTGCAACACAACAATACAATAAAATAGAATAAAATGCATTATTACATAATTCCAATGAAAATTAATTTTTGTGATAACAAATATGACCAGCATTAGCATATGTACCTACTGAGGGGCTCGGAACATATCCTAAGTTAGAGGTGAGTAGGCTATAGTCAACCACCATGGCTCGGGCAATGTGTGGACAATGAACAATATACCTTAAGACAATAAACCTACTGCCCATATGTACGGTTCATAAAAGCCCAATATTCTGAAGTTGAAAGAGAAGAATGAAGGAAATGTGAATGTTAAAATGTATGTTTGAGGTAGCACAAATTGATAAGATTGATTTACATACCTCTGGCAACTTCGGCATTGGTTCATCACTAACAGGAGTTAGGCTTCTTGGTGGTTCTTGTGGAGCATGATCTGAATGGTTGGAATCACTGCTTTCATCATCAGAGACAGGCCTGCGTGCTTTTCGGACTCGAGTAGGGACGCACGGCAATTTACGTTTATTGTTTGACATTGGGTTTTTACGTTTATTATTTGACATGTTCTGTGTAAAAAGATTTTATTTGTTATATAGTAGTTCTATTATATATTACTATTCATCCTACTATCTATGTCCCTATCCTAAACTAAAGCCAATCAGGGTTTATACTATTCTTTACTACATTTTAAAGCATGTGCAGCCTACACTCTTAAAAAAGAAACAGTTCTTAGAAAGTCTTGTATGTGTTAAAACAATTATAGTAGAGTTGTAAAGAGATGCAGTGCAGTTGCAGGAAACATCAATCACTTTTGTACATGTTGATTTCCATGAAAATAATATGCATCAACCAATGCGGATGAGAGGACAAAGTGTAGCATACTTTAGATATATTCAGCTTTAGTGAATGTTCAAGAGCTTTAATGAGTTTGTGAACCTATTGTAATGCCTATATTATACTTTCATCAAAAACCAAACACCGTTATCTTACTGTGAATTTGGAACTCTATAAATTATTTATGAGTCACATTTGCTTTATTCAAGAATGGTATAAAAGAGTATTGATAGAAACAGATCCAAAATTAACATATCAAAAGACAAAGGTGATGTCTGCTGGCAAGACTATTTGAAAATAGTTAAATAAAAGCGGGTTTTATTACATTTTACTTATATCTGTTCTACAATCTGGTACAATCTATAGATCAGAAACCCTAGCACAAAAACTTGCAATGATTTTATAATGTCATTGACTAAATTTGCATATTTATTGTCTACTCTGCAATGTACTCATTTGCCATCCAATAGCTTCGGTTTTTGCAACATTTAACAATAAAAACACTTAGTTTTGATTTTTGATATTAACTTAAGTATAAAGTAAACTGCAATCACATTTTATTCTTCTCTTAATTCATTTTCATTTTACAGTAATGATGCTTTTTTAAAAATTGTAAAACATGTACTCCTTAATATTGTCATAGTAACAAGTACTATGTCTAATAAAGATTTTATGTACTTGAACATCAAATAGATATAATATGACTAGGCTTTGCGTAACTTGTAGATCGATTCGCTTCATCAAACTTTTAAATTTCATTACTCTTGTATGTTATTTGTAAAAACAAACGATTAATAAACAACAGTGATATTATCATTGTTATCCAGTCTTCGGTAGTTTATTACTTACGTGCTCAGAAATATATCGAAAAATGTATGTTCTTTATAAGACTTTTTTTTTATTTTTGGGTAAAAATGGCGAGACGTCATTCAAATAGGGCAGTAATAAAAAAGTACACAGTAGTCTTAAATCATTAGAATCCACCGAAATCATCCTTTAACATGATTTTTTATAGACATGCTAAAAGATGAATAAAGAAATATTGTTTTAAAAAGCTTTGTATGTATTCAAAACGATGCTTTTTATTGATTTTATACTATTCATAAATCTAAATTGTACGCCACCGATATCGACACGTGCCATGTTTATTAAAATAAAAACACAATAGAAGTAAAAGAACAGTTAAACACCTAATAAATCATAAATCAGAGTATTTATTTACTTACCGGTTAAACGCTGCAACTAAACAATATAAAATAACACTGATTTCAAGATTCTCAAAGATGACCTCTCATTTATGCGGCAACGACAAAACGACAATAGAGACACAGTGAAAAAATTTATTCCACATCCCTTCCCTATGTTTTCTTTCAAATAATTTTAGGTAATATTGAAAATATTGCCAGCAAATAATATTTAAAAACATCAGCAGCAACATTGTTTTGAATTATAATTGCCCTCCTTTTCTAATTAACCATAAAGTTCTTTGCGAGAAAGAGATAAGACATGTTTGAGTCACACAGAATATTAATGTTCAGCAGAACAGAATCATTGCAAATGTTTGCTACAACGTGTATTTTGAATTCCATAATTTTAGCTTAAACTTAATATGATTTTAGACATAATGAGACAAACAAAAAATCGCATTTTACTTTTAAGTACTGATTTAGGCCCAAACATTTGATTTCTTCATTTTGTTGTCATTTTTACATGGCAATATTAGACTGTCGAGAGATGTTCGAAATCGTTTTTTTCTTCAACGAAACGTAAAGTTAATTTTATTCCACAACTAGTTAATTATCACCAAAGTAGCACTTTCATCAAAATAAACGAAAATAACGTTTTCATAAAAGGCATATTAATTTTTCTGTTTGATTTCTTCTTTGAACATATATAAGTTTGTTATCATTAAATATAATTTTATTAAAATAGCAATTCGATCCGGCGTCACCTGTCCTCTTATATCAATCACATCCTGTTACATATCATACACTTCTTATTGATGTCCCGATTATTGAAAATTAACGTTGTAAACACGGCCGGATTCGACACGCTAACTAACATTTCGCTTAAAGTGATTATGATCGTAATATCTTTTAAAGCATCTGTCTACGTTAAATTCTCCTTATAAACACTAATTTTTTAAGGATTAATCAAACTAAGATTATAAATGCTAAAGTTTAGATGGATGTTTGTTAGAGTTTGTAGCCTAAACCAGTCAGCGGACGCTTTACATTTCATCGGATTTACTTGCTTGCTTCTTTGCCTACTTTTTTATGCAATAAAACAATAATAATAATATCACCTCAAGAAGCTCTCGCTAGACAGTTGGATTAAGGGCCCGATTCAAAAGGCGGTTATTTTAGAAACCGCACGAATAGTGAGGAGGTTCCTGTCTCTGCGGCCCTGACCACTGGTTGCTTGAGTCATCGGATTCCGCAGCCGGTGGTGCTCTATTTTTTTATATAATATATTTTATTTTAATTTTTATATTCTTGTAAAATGTATTATATAGAGAGTAAGAAATAAAGATATATGGATAATAATATAATATAAACGCTTTTTACTATACAAAAAACCTAAAAGATTGATAAACCCATATGCTATTTGACTTCGCTAAAAGTTTTATATTACTTTTTGAAACAGATAAGCCCTCGTAACCCAAAAAGAAGCAAAATACGAGCAAATTTTAATATCAAGGTTAAGAAATACGCTGATTATTAATGCTTCCTAAATTTTCATTATTTTAAAAGTGGCCCTCAGTTATACAGCTTTCTAATGGCGAATTTTTTTTTGCAATCGGTCCAGTAGTTATTTATTTTTTAAAAAAATCATGCAAATATACAAATCTTTCCTCTTCATAATATTGGCATAAAAAGTGACCAGATTCATTAAATTCAACTAGTGCAGTAAACGATCAAATGTTAATAAGTTTAATGAAAATCAACGGCGATTTTAACTGTTATAGCTAATTCGTTGAAGCAATATTTATCGCCAATCCCTAAAACTCTCCCAAATTATCTTGTCATTGGTTTAATGTCAAAGACTTGTCAAAAACAATGCAACATTTGTTGTGATTTTATTTAACTGTCAAAAATTAATATAATCTAAAATAAATTAAACTAATCAAAAATTATTAAACATACTTGTTGTACCCCGAATTTTAACGTTCAGACCTTCGGCGCTATTGTAGCCAAAAGTAGACTCCTGATTGTAAAATAAAACGGGGTACTTGAGTCTAAAACATTTTTCATATTTCAAGATGTCAATATATGTTTAATAAAAACAACAATACATAAGTTACACTTTATTTTAAAATTTCTATTTATATAATACATATTACAATTAATAAGTTACAGTGGCATGATTACATTTTTTAACTTCTTTGTGAACATCTTTAAAATAACTTTAATATTCTTTAAAATTTCTTCTAACTAGATATTTCAAACAATCTGAATTATTTTGTTTCTGTTCTGTTCTTCTCTTGTTAACTTTTATACATTAATACTATTATAATATTCTTGTAAAATAGATAATTTTTAAAAGATTCTAATTTGTTAAATACTTTTTTTTTGTAAAAACAGATAACTATTCTATAAGGCAGAATTCATAATTTCATTGTTTGGAAGTACATATTTGTATTGTTGTGCGTTCTAATAGTACAATTAAAATATCAAATGAGTAAAAATACACATGAGTCTTAACAATTAAAAACTTTAAAGAGATCTATATGAACTATACTCGGACTATAAAATTATGGGTACTAGAAATTTTAAATGCAAAAATTGCATTCTACATATTTTTTAAAATCTAAGTACCTTCTGGACCTAAGTAGTAACAAATAGCACTATTGTGTAAGAAATATAAGATTTTTTTTATATTACTTGGTGACAATTGAGCAAACACCCAGGATTCAATATAAAGCAGACTGTTGCATATAAACATTTGCAAGCGGAAGCATTGTATACCTTCAATTGACTTATCATGCAATCAATTGACTTGAGTAAATGTTAAAGTAGCCATCTGCTGTAACAGTACAACTGTATGTGACAATTTGATAGAGAAGATTGTATGACTATGATAACTCTATTCGTTAATATTCAATCTGATTTCATGGCTTTATTAGTTTATTTCTCTATTCTGATTAATATAAAAAAAACGGAGTTTACATACATTGAATAATAGGTGTTATGGTTTCTGTTATTATTAAATAACTTTTGCTAATGATTAAAAAAATAATTATTGTATTATTTATTATTTTATCCTTGTTATCTCTGATATAAATATCCGAGTATAGTTTAACAACATTATTTTATTATTGTATAATATTAATTTATAAAAATAATATTCGACTGTTGTAAAATTCTGTTTTAAAGTTTCGTGTTAATCTTATTTAAAGTATTAAGATATTCGTTATAGATATTTTTTATATATCTTGATCACTTTCTTTATATTTAATTCTTATAGATTAGAAGAATGGAATTGGTCCTTACTATATTTTAAGGTTATAATGCAAGTTGTTGTGAACACAGTCGGTAGTGTCAGGAGTGCGGCATTCAGCTAACAACGAGGCAAGGAATACTTCTTGTTCCTTTAATCTTTTGACAAGTACTTCCCACTTGCCATAGTTCAATTCCATTAATTGCACTGCTTTGTTCATTATCTTGTGCGCCTCTAAACACCAGTAACTGCAAAGAAACAAATATTAAATTACCTAAAGATGTGCACAGAACAGTCTTCTATAAAAGCAAGCAATTCAGTAATTATTTTCCTTCATATGAACAAGAAATATAGGTTGAGAATTATATATTGATAAATTTATTAAAAGTTACAAACCGATAATCCGGATGACCAGGCAGCTTAAAGATTCTCTCAAGCATAACATCGGAGAGTTTCCTCAATTCATGTGCCACCTGTATCATATTAAGATATTACATTAATATAGACAGTAGCATTTACTAAAGATAATTTAAATCTCTGAATATAAAAGAATTATACATTTATTTTGTTGTAAATTACAAATGAGCTACCTATTTAATTATTTGTTCATATAAACTGTAATCATATCACAATAAAACTAAATACCAGTTTATACGAAACTAGCTGTTGCTCGTGGCTTTGTCCGCGTTTAATTAAAAATATATAGCCTATGTTAACAATGATAACATAGCCTTTTAATAATAATAACTATAATTTTTAAAATCGGTCCAGTAGTTTTTTAATTCTTACATTATATACAAATATATAAATCTTTCCTGTTATAATAATATAATAATATTAATATATAGATATAGATTAAAAATGCTTACCTCAACACTAAAAGAGCCAAATTGGTATTCAAGACTTTGAATATTTTGTTTTATCAATTCTACGCTCCTGCCAAATTCACCTGTAAGTTAAGTAATGAAAGACATTAATGTAGCTGTAATAACGTAATTAAATTAAACACTAAGGCCACTGCTTCCCGCCAATAATGACATTGACAGCTGTAATATAGGGATGGGACGTATGACAATAAATTAGTGTTGTGCCAATCCTCCAGCACTTCTTAACAGTAATAAGTTATGCGTATCATTTATTTAATTGCTAATTTAATGATATAGAGATATATACCAAGATCAGCGTAGATTCTTGCCAATCTGTCCGCGGCGGCTCTTAGCGAGCTGTGATGTCTATGCCATACTTGCTGCTTCAATTTGTACGATGCTAACATCTTTTCACATTTCTCTTCCAGGTTTGTAGTTCTCTCCGCTAGAAAGAAGAAAAATAATTTGTACATTATGTTAATACTACTCTCTCCATCTGGCTGCAATTAAAAAATTATAATAAAGTATACTTTAAAAAAGTTTGGTCCAATTTGGCGTCATATATTGCCTATTACCTTGTAATGCGAAATCGTCGGCGCGGTCAATAATGGCAAGTGCTCTGTCCAGTTGGAAGTTGCTGGAGCATTGCTGGCAGCGCGCGCGCTTCCCGCTCACCAGCACCGGACACTTGCACGACTGACACACGTATGCTGAGAACAGCAGCTATATCACAAGTAAACAAAATTAGAGCTATATTCTACAAACTATCATATGCAAAACAAAATTAAAGCTTAAAGCTCTCATATTATTGTCTGTAACTTTGGTATATGGTTTAGTCTGAAAGTTTAGCCTAAACACTCTTCAATGCATATTATTTTATAATACATACTTGATAGACATCTATTCATCAAAATTTTGACATTATAATATCAGCATATAACTATGTAGGGAACCTGATACATTTTACGAAAACACTCCACAGTTACACTTGACATTCATACACAGCACACATACACACTTACATAATACGTACAATCACTCACACATATAAACACGGTGCACGACGAGTGGTCGAAATATAGTGCAACGCATCTATTTTTGTGACCTGTCATTGGTGCATTTAAATTCGCGACTGCACAGCTGACCGGGGTCATTGACCGAGCGGCGCGCGCGGTTAATTAACAGTCGCTTTCAAACTGTGCCCGCGCTGACCACTGTTAATTATCGCTCTTGTTATCCCAGCTTATTATTATTGTGTTTCTTCTCTTCTTCTACTTATAACGTGTTGCACTCTCCTTCTACTTCTTTTTATTATATATATTGTGTTGTGGATTAAGTGTTTTTGGTGTGAATAAATTGGTTGAAGAATAACGGTCGCATCATTTAAAATCTGCACCAACACTCATCACCCCAGCGACACCATCACTACCTACCACTACATTGGTGACCCCGAAGAACAAAATGAGCAACACGGAGGACAATTTTCAAGAGGCACGCTCGCTGCAAAATGAACCTTATGGTCATGTGTGTAAGGTCGGAATTCGTATACTACGGATTTTCACTTCGAATTTTCACTTCGTTTTACGAGTTTTCTATAGATTTATTTTTAAAACTCAATCTAAAGTATGTAGAAATACTTTCACCCGCACCTCCGTTCATGTGGTATTAAAAATATCAAAAGTAGCATGAGTCATTACAGACTATCCTCTACATCTAAACCAAACATCCATTTAAACTTTTGCATTTCTTTCAGCAAGATATGTTAATAAACTTTGGATATTGGTGTCTTCAGCTTGTTTTTATACCTATAACACTTACTTACCACAAAATCCTTTCTATCATTATCCCGGCAAGCTGTGCAGGTGCAGTTAAACATGTATTGTGCACGAAGCTGAGCTCGGCGGCGTGTAGCGGGCTCGCGCGCGCGGTGCGGCCCGTAGCAGTTGTATACCTCGCCTCCAGCAGACAACTCGTTAGCACACCGCACAATCAGACGGTTCTTGTAGAAACTGCACGAAACACAACTGCATCATCTACACGCAACTATACTCAAATCAAAACAATGACGACGAACGACTTTCCCGCTAAAGTCCCGTCACAATCGAACCACAAGTTCCAGTTACCCGAAATAAACGCGGCTTGCTGACTGACAGACAAAATTTTTAAAAACCGATGTTCATTATCATCAAATACATTATCTTTATGAAATCTGTTAATTTTTCTATATTATATATAAGCACTTCAATTTTATTAACTGCATAGATATAGATAAATTCACTTATTTAGTTGTATAAGATGTATTGTTATGCTTACGTGTTGATAATGTTAGGTTCACACGAGTGGTTCATCATAGCAGCTGATGGATAAATGGCAGTTGCTCTGCGAACTTCACGTTCTGTTACTGTACATCCTGCAAAATATAGAATTCTTACTAATATAATAAATGTAAATGGTTAGATGGATGGATGGATGTTTATTATAGTTTGTAATATGTCAGTGGTGCAGGATATGTTAAATATTTACCATTCCTTGCATCATCTTCTTCAACAGTAGCCAGACTTAAAGTAGCGTGGCCATTGCACACCAACTGTCCCAGACTGCGCAATATAATCGCAGCGGCAAATAACCGCAGCTCTTCACCGGACAGTGTGTACGGCACTTTACTTGGTAAGTACTCAAAAAATGTCGTAAAATGTTCGAGGTAGATTGTTAACATAGTTGCTGTCTGGAATACAAATACTTTATTTAGATTTGAAACACGGTATATAAGTTATAAATGAATACTTTTGGTTATATTTCATGAACAAAGAAGTCGGTTATAAGCCTAAGAACTTATGCATTTCTCTTGATGAATATTTGTTAAAAGCATTCCTTCCCTTCTCCTTTTATGACGGCTTTAGATATTTTTGGATAATAGTTACATTGGTTAATATTCTTTTTCTTAATTTGAGAAAACAAAATGTAAAATACATACTCACTAAGGCATATTGAATATAATCGTTATTGTTCATCTTATCAAAGTTGGTGACCAAATTAAACATTCTATAAAAAGCCGGTGAATCCGCCTTGTATATCTGTATATCATCAACATCGGAATAGCATTTAAATAATTCCGATGCAGTGTTGGGCTTTAAAGACTTTTGAGGCACCAACGGGAAGCCCTGACTTGCACTTAACAATAGAACTCTAAAAAAGAAATAATAAAATCTTGAGCATGTTAAATACAATGTAAACACATTGAAAACCATAGTTAGTGCTTGTTTTATCTTACCTTAAAGCTAGATGGGCAATGCCTATAGTGGGAAAAAGGGCACTTTGTGATCCAACACATTCCCAGCGGTGAAAGGCAAGGGCGCCGCGTGCTCGGCACTGCGCACCACAGTACACGCTGCGGGAACAACGGCTGCAACTATCAGACATCGATTTTACGGACATGATTAAAGATTTCATTATTTACTTACTAATATTATAAATGCGAAAGTTTAGATGGATGGATGTTTGTTCGATTTTGTAGACTAAACGGCTGAAGGTATCTCGTTAAAATTTGGCACAGATGTAGAGGATAGTCTAGAAGAACACATAGGCTACTTGCTTTTGTTTTTTTATTCCGCGCGGACGGAGTCGCTGGCTAAAGCTAGTGTTTATATAATCTCTAAGTAAGTTAGAAAAGAACACTCACGGCACTAAGTTAATGTCTGGTTGACAGCACATCTCGCAAGAAGGCTCATCACTGGGCAATGTCACCCAGGCATAGGGCTCCTCAGAGAACAACACATCTCCACGTCTAGCACTTTGGTTTGCTACAACATATCTGCCTGCTGTTTCACTTCGCCTAAAATCAAACACCTTAACTATATAACTAGCCATCCATAAATTGCATCAAACAATTTTATACTTATCTCATTTTGTTTAAAAAATAATATTTTGACATTCCAGTAATTGGAGTGTATGAACAATGATTTGAATTATATACCGTAACTCAATGCCACTGGATGCAGCATTAAAATCAGCATTGGACCCTCGTAACAATTCCGGTAATTCTATTTCATCATCTTCAAGTTCCGCACACATTGGGTTTTCTAATTTCTTTTCAAATATTTTCACATGTCTCTCAAACTCCACTGAAAATGTTATTTCATGACCTAAATGTTATATCGTAAATAAACGAAACTAAAAATAATCATGACTAGCATTCTATTAATTACTGTTGACACTAGACAGCCAGTTATCTATTCACCTTCTTAACAAGGGAGACTCGGGAACTATAAACTTATTTTATTACTTGCAATAGATATACTCACAAGCAGATGCAGCTGACAAGTTGAGAGTGGAGGCATATTGTGTAGCAGCAGTAAGAGCTGACCGGGCACTCGACCTCTGTCCAAGTTCAATATAGCAGTCAACTCTTCGAAGGAGTAACTTGTGTTGTTGTTCCGCTGGGTAACCGCTTTCGATGGCCATTGAAATATCAACAAGACACTCCTATAAAGGTAAGGAGATCACATTGAATTTCATTTTAAAAGCATGCATCATTGGAAAATATTATGTTTACTATAAATTAAAAATTCAACTCACTTTAAATCTCTTCAACCTCAACAATGATGCAGATCTGTTAGCCAAAGCCAAGGGATACATTGGTCCATTATGTTTAGCATATACTACACTTTTCGAGTAACATCTATAGCTTTCCTCAACTAAATTTGCTCTAAAATTATCATTGCCTCGTTGTCTCCATAATAAGGACACATCATCACATTTTAAAGCTGTATCAAACTCATTTATCTTCTTGCTATAAGAGCTCTTCATTTGTTGTAGCCATTGCAGCATAATTTTTCTAGAAGAAATAATATAAATGTTGAACATGAAGCCATATTTTATCAACATATTCATCAAGTTAACAAGGGTACATGGAGAAAATGTAACCTAGCTTAAGACAAAGCGTTACTTATGTTTTCAAAGGCTCTTAAATTTTCTTAAATACTACATCTACATCGAACAAAAATATGTTAATTAATCAATTTCAATTTACTATTACAAAAAACTTTGTGGGATAAGGTTATGTTCTACGACAGTTTTCGTAAGGGGACTCGCACGTACCTTACTGCTTCATTATTGGAGAAGTAGCTCATCGTATCAATCTCATTTTCACTGGTTCGATCGATTTTCTTCTCTTCAGATGACAACAACAATAGCAAAATTTCCCACTGTTTCGAACAGTCTTCAGGTAAATTTACACTGGTCATTGTTGGTATAAAATAAAATTATTTACTATTAAAAATACGATCGAAAAACAAATACATTTAACATTTAAGTAATACAAAAATATTAGCAAATACAATTACAACTATAATTCGATTACAAGTTTGCACGGTATTGGACTGTATCCAAATTCAAATGTCACTATTATAATCATAATCTTGTCACAACTTGTCAAAAGAACGTTATTAGGTAAATACATTAAGAAGCCTCTACATGATTCTAACATTAAAGCTACTTCTTACATTTTCTATTTAATAGTGTTATAGATAAGCTTGTGATTGTTCCGTCTTACGTCGCTTAATATTTGGTAAAAAATATTTATTTCATACGTGGTATTTTTTTTATTTTGTTAAATCTAGGTAAATGCATATTAAAATAATAATTTTTCTTTAAAAATTACTGTATTACAAGGGAGCTATTCAATACCAGAACATCACATTTATGTTATTGAATATCATTTCTTCGGTTTCGTAAATCAACAGATGCATATAAAGGAGTAGATTTACATTTCGTTTTGTTTTTAAATTAAACTCAAAAATTACAATAAATGAAGAAAATGATTAATTGAAAATCCTATTATATAACAATATGATTTTCGAATTTTACATGTACATAATTTATCCGATCTATAGATATAGGCGAAGAAATTTAAAAATATGTGTGAGGTAAATCGTCATGAATTGAGCCAGCTTGGTTGTTACACTGAAGTTATTCACGCATACAGCAGCTGTCTTCTATAAAAAGTACGTTAGAATCGGTCCAGCTGCTTCAGCGTGGAAATAAAAAATGTCCATATTATAGGCAATGCAAATACGTCTTATACACGTCATATATATTTGTTTATATTACACGCAAACATTTTTATAAACTGTATAGTTAGATATAGGTAATGTTAGTTAAACACGTGAACCTTTCTAGATTCAGTTATTTTTAACAGACATTCTTAAACCGCGTCACGTTTACCAAAAAAGGTTAAAGAAAAGTGGTTCCTGCATTCCTCGACACTACCAAAGTATTGATAGGTACCTATCAATCGTAAAATTGTGAAAACCGATTATTTATTGAATAAAGGACCTTAAGCCTTAACGTTAAGGTCGTATAGAAATAAATTTGGGTTACACCATAAAAGATTATCCGTGGCATTCCTTTTAAGGCTCCATTATGAAAATTTGTAGGTACCTAATAACTTTGAGTGCCAACTGCCCAGCATATCCTTTCACGTATCCTTCTATTTAAAAAACGGACGTGGTTACTGTTTTAAGTGCCCATTGTGTTTACAATAATTTAGGTCTAATTGTAGTCCTTTTCTTCTACCCTTTTTGTACAAGGAAAGGATGGGAATGAGAAGCGGATTTGGAGGGGTTTGTGTACGGGACGCATATGTAGGTGCGGATCTTTATATATAGAAAGACGATACCGGGATAAGATACTCTCTTTTCGTGCGTATCCCCTTTAGTTCGAAGTTTAGTTTAATTAGCACATGAATATGTTATGCGTAAGTGTATTTGTACAGTTCACGCAAGTACCCGTACGTTTTGGATGTATTATAATTGATTGCTTTTTAAATTCACATCACATTGCACAGTAAATTAAAATGGATTAACTTTTACAAATCTATATACGGCAATGTAATACATTGACCACACCTTATATAAATAACGACACGAAAGAGAGTTGATATACGCAGTTAAACGATACGAAAGTAATAGGTTTCACAAAGCTAATTCAGAGGAGTAGCAATCTATTCAACAAAAGGTTTATTTCGCCATCAACTGTATAGGGTAAAACCTTGCTTGTTCACGAAGATTCAAGGTTTTAGCCCTTCTCCTAATGATAATATTGATGTTGTGAACTTAAAATTATTCTACTTACTTTCTTTGGCCAACAAAACACACATTTGGCTTTGCATTTTCTAGCCTCCATAACAGTGTAAGGACGTTATCATTCGTACCATTAGTGATTAACCTTAATAATAAGAATTCAACTATTAAATGAAGATTATAGTATATATTTGCATATAAACATGATAAATAAACAATACTTTGTATTTTAGTTAGTGTATCAAACACTGGCGTATTGTACTACTTACAATGTACAATGAGCATTGTTAACCATAAAGAACGAACTAAATGAGAAATGCTTTTGGATTCAATCCAAAATACAAGCTCTTTTTATAACAACAGACCAGCAACAGACTTATGGAGTAGGTATACATTATAGTTATGTTTATATATCTACATATTACACAGTAATAGTGTCACAAAGGGTAAGAAAATAACGGGTTGCGCTTGTGGTAAGGAAGTCAATATCAGACAATAGGAATTACGCAATAATCAATTGCGTAGAATCATTTTACTCGAGAAAGTTATTGCAATCTTAATGTTCAATTTATCTATGAAATTAGCATTTTTTCGTAATCATTTTCCTGTTTTAGAAGACCGCTCTTTGAAAGTGTTCTGAGAATCATTTCCCAATAGTTATATCTACAATAAATGGGGTGTCAAAACTAAATTAGTTATATGTTAATAATTTAATGAAAATAAAAAAGGATACTGTTTTTCTGTCAAAAAAAAATGCAATCCTCATTCTCTTCTCTATGACCTTATAACAAAAGCCGAAGTACCAAAGTATACAAACATTTAGGCGCTAGATTGCAAACCAAAACACGTAAAGTAGGCTTCGCATACTGGGGCTCGAGAAATTCGTTATTCAGCGCGCGAAAGCTCCGAGGGGAGAGAGGCTAGGAGCGGGCTATTGATGGTTACCTTACGATGCGCTTGCGCACCTGTCGCCGACGCACCGGCTCAGTCGTACACCGACCACTGACAAAGCAGCTCGCGCCATGACAGCTTTGTCTCAAATAAATTCGTCGCGAGTGTCGTAACTTTAAGATTTTTTTGTGAACATTACTATGGATATGATACTCCTAAGTGCTGTATTAGTGCTGCTGCAAGGTGGGTTAAGTAATAAATGATTTTTATATTATAAAAAAGTAGGTTAGAGAGTTCGACTCGTCGACCGCAGAAGATGAACTACTTTCGGATTAATCTTTAAATTCAACGACGTTCTTGAAATTTTCACTTTACCATGAATTATTTTATAAAAATATTATTAAAACACATTGCAGACAAAACATTATAATTGTTAATTAACGCGAAAAAATGTATTCAAGTTATTATCAGAAAACAGTGAAGCTTTTAAAAATATTTAAGTACACAAGACTTAATTTCAATAAACAACAAACTAGAGAGAAAAGAAGATCACTTAAATTCGCCTTTTCATTTCCATCTTTAGTCGTTAAATACTAATGTTTTAAAAATACTACATATTTGCTAACTTCTAATTTCGCCGAATTCGTGTGATGCGCCTCTACAAAATAATTGACAAACTACTTACTCAATGTAATTTGTTGTATTAAAAAATGTTTCATGTCACTTTCTAGTGATTCTGCTGGATAAAAATCATTTCTCCATTCAAATTTTCTTACTAGCCCACTTACCTATGTAACAATAGAAATATCAATTTTCCAGTCCCAATAGGTTTTCTTTAATTTCCTATTATACAGAAACCGAAAAGTTTTTTGGGTTCTAATGTTTTTTCCACATTTTACAAGACCCCGACATATGTGCAAGATTACATTTTTACGGACGTCAACAGTTGCAACACTTGGCTGATACCTTATGAATTAGTTTACCTCGCATGAGCTACAAATGTTGAATAAACAATATTACTGTTAACTGCACTCTGAACCCGTCTACAACGAAGATCAACCAGTTAAGTAGATCAAAACAACGCTATTCCTGAGAATTCAATATTGATGGCGCAGCGTGGAACCACGAGATAAATACAATCAACAGCTTTCATTGACACAAATCACTTACGGTTTAAGAATATTTATTAACCTTAATAAAAATTTACAATTCACTTATTTAAGGTAATTAATACTAAACACAACATTTATGAAAGATTACAAGCATACGAGAGTTTATTTAAAATATCATCTAAATGTAGGTAGTGTTGTAAACTTACTTACAAAACAAGACTAATTATTTGTGTATATTATGTATATTTGTGAGATGACAGTTATTGTATGTTCTATATACTTAATAATATTAGAATACTAGCTTTTGCCCGCGACTCCGTCGGTGTGAAATTTAAAAATAAAAATAAATGAAGGAAAAATATATATGCTGTGTTACTCATAGATAAATAACTTTTCTAACCGTGAAAGATTTTTTAAAAAGGAATGAAGGAAGATTTTTTTGAAAGAAGGAATAACTTACCTTAATTTAATTCGCAAACATTCGCAGACTATTATGTGAAAAGTGTAATTGTTCGTGAAATCTAACCAGCATTAACTATATACATCAGAAATAATAAGTTATGTTTTATTATTTGTAGGTTGATTATGTTAAAAAAAACGGATCAGATAGTTTAGCTGTCTTACTAGCTATGTTATAAATGCGTTAATTTATATGGATGGATGGATAAGTGTTTGTTAAAGTTTACAGCTTAAGTGTCTTTTTATAGTAAAAGGGGACAAACGAGCAGCGGATCGGGTTGAAATTTGGCATAGATGTAGAGTATTCCAAAACAGCTAATAGGCTACATGCTTTTTTAAATTCCAATCGTACGGAGTCGCTATCTAAAGCTAGTAGTATAATAAATTAAATAATATCGAATAGTACACTGTCGACTAGCATAACATTTATAGTGTAAAAATGTTAATTTGAAATTAAAGAGATATCTATAGAGCGGAACATAGCGTGTTAGCGTATTCGAATGGTGAGGCCGATTGTATGGTGACCGGTAAAGATCTGAGCAAGGCGGAGAGGTGGAAAGTTATTGTATATACACTGAAGTGTAAAGTCGTCGAGACACGTTGAATTACAACTTTACCATACGCAATTATCGTAACGTCATGCATGCATCATTTGCAGGGGAATGTGAATTTCGAATCTCATGATATTTTTTCTTTAAACCATCCAAGCACCATATTTTAAAAGTAGATGACAAATACAATAAGAACCGCTTCATAACGCGTGGTTTAAAACGCTATATCGGTTATTACAACCAAAACTAAATTTCGTTTGAAAGCCCTACCAACAATAAAATAACTGTCAAAGAAGTATTGGTTATTACAACTGAATATTGCCGGTCCTTTAATTGACGTTATTACTGGTTTAAACGTATTTTGTCGTCTTTCTGACTTCACATTGTAAGCGAGTCACACCCTCTGTTTCGAATTCCGGATGTTTCATATTCCCCTACTTCCGGTTCATTTTTTTTAATAATAACCTGTGGAGTTTTTGTTTTATATTTCGTCTAATAAAATATGTGAAGGTTTGACTAAGTAGTGCTACAAAATGATTTTTGAGCGGCATTGGAATGGAGCAAAAGGTGTTTTGTACAATTGCCGCGATATCAGTGAAGGAAAAGGAATTTGTTTTTTGTGAGCAATCACAGATTTCCTCCGACGCATTCCCGTCACTTGATGTCAACAAAAACTATAACATAGACATATGAATGTACAAGAGTGAGCTTGTTATGCATATTGTTACCACTCTTATTACTAGCTTATGCACGCGTCTCTGTCCGCGTTAAATTATAAAAAAAAACAAAAGCAAGTAGCATATGTGTTCTTTCATACTATGTTTTACATCTATGCCAAATTTCATCCAGATCCGTAAAACCTTTTAGGATACAAACTACATATAACAAACATCCATCCATTCATCTGAACTTTCACATTGTATTCCAAAAGTCCATTTCTTTCTTCTCTAGAATTTTATTCAAACTAGAGAAAATATATCAAATTGAGAATTGTGGTTATTAAATAAAAACATTATATTACTAGAAAACGCAATCCCTACATCGTGGTGAGACAGAGCCACTTGAAATTGTCTGACCCTGAGTGAAAGTTCTGTGAAGTCACATTCCGGCGCGGAAACAAGGCCCTAAACGCTCTTTCTCCTGATTGCATCTAACCAATATGTACCGGCGACTACAAGTTTAAATGGCGATACTTCACTGCGTACTTAGATGTTATCATTACAATAATAATACATGAAGCGAAAGCGTACTACCCCTGTTTAATGAAATTGCATAAAGCTATTTTTAATAAAAAAAAATCTTACATGTAAATCTTGGTTGAATTTCGATTAATGTGCCTTTTACCGTTGGGCTTATTGGGATTTTTTCAGTCAGCCCTTTATGATCAAAATCCAAAATTGTTCGGAAAGCCGGAAGAAACACTTTATTTCATCACTATATCATCATCTTTCTCCTTATCCTACTCCCGTAGGGTCGGCACTACACGTTTTTGTCCTCCAAATAACTCTATCATACGTCATCTTAGTCATCACTCCCTTTTTGATCATGTCCTCTTTCAAGCAATCCATCCATCTATTTACTATTTCATCACTAAAGTACAATCGTTATTAATTTCTCAAATATTGTAAATAATTTTTGAGATTGCATGTATGTATGCTTTGCAGTTAGGTCGTATCTTTTATGTTAATGAAACTAATGTTAAGTTTGAAATAAGTGTAATCGTTTTTTATTGTATTTTTTTCATTAACATTGTGTTAGGTAAATTAATTTTATCTTTGTGAAACAATCGACCTGCATACATTTCTTCATACGATGAAGGCTGCGTAACGTTCCACGCTTGTTTTCTAGGGGAAGTTAACAAATTTTGAAATAGGGTCATTGAAAACCAATTAAATCAACTACGTTAACAACAATTGCGGCTGAAAAATGGTACATACACTGTACAGAAATACATATAGCCAAGCAAATTAATTAATCAACTAATATCTCCCTTTGTGCAGATATAGGACGGAAAATTTAACAATTAACTTTAAGTCTTTTAAGAAATTCTTTTAAGTACTTATTTTAATTCTAGTCTGGTAACTCGACACATAACAAAATGTAATTGATATTTGTTATATGATTATCATATCAAATAAATATTTATATACAGACTAAAACCAAATATTATATGACTAATACGTTGCCCTCACATGTTATCATAATACATATATTATAATGAAATTAATGTAAACGAGGTGATAGAACTACATTCTGTTTTTTTTTTATCGATAAAATAGAAAAAATATAAGGATAATGTCAACTAGCGGTACAATATGACGCTCTTAAAACTAGTATTTTAAAACAAATTCTCTCGTTCTTGTTTTATATGAAAAGAACCCCCGAGATCCGCTCATTAGAGATGAGATGTCGCGTGCCACGATTTACATCACCCGGTGGGTTGGCTAGCGACCTAATTATGCGTAAACTAACTGCGTATTGGACGATGTAACGGTTTAAGAATGTGGTCGCGCCCGTTATCTGTGAGTCTGCGGAAACTTTAGGTGATTGAAAGTTATCAAAAATTATTAAAAGTTATAATGATCTAGTCGAATCTTCATTTTAACAACAAAATGCTTATTACTGGTTACAAAATCCAAAAAATCGTTATATCACTTTTTATTTCAATTGTTACATAATTTGAAACCTTGTTAAATAGTCTAGTTATTTCTAGAAATAGCAGCGAGCTGAGTATTTGATCCATTGTTTAACTTCATAGTATTTATTAAACATTGGACTATGAATGCCATACCAACCTGCCGTAAGTAGTTAGCGATTCATGAGAAACTGTAAATAGATTATGGTAAGGTCATTTGCACAATAAAATATACACTATAAAGATCATTGTCATATGTAAAATAAATTCATTTCTTTCTCTCGGTCACTATTTCTTTAACAATTTCATCAACATTGCTCAAACTATTTCTAAGAACAGTGGGAAATTTTACAAATACTGGGAATTGGACGTCGTTGACAAATGTGCAACGCTTTATGATGGCAATATAATGCTTTGCGTCACCGAGAAAGCACTACTTTCACACTTCGAGACGAGTCATCGTTGGCTATTACGTCAGATTGGTATTATCCAAATATTCTCAACATACTCATGGATATATTAAATGCATCCGGGTTACTTCAAAGTTCCTCTTTGTGCCAGTCGGGATGGAGAGTTTTATTTCACACAACATATCTACCTTTTTTTTTTTATAACATAAGGTGGCAAACGAGCAAGCGGCCACCTGAATCCGCTAAAATGGCGAAGCGACCGCTGCCCATAGACATCCGCAATTGCAGATGCGTTGCCTATCCTTATCCGACAGAGGAGGAGACGCACATAAAGAGGATATCTCCCCTTCCTATGTATCTTCTCCTCCGTCAAATCCACTTCCTCTTCCCATCCTCTCCTTATAAGAAAAGGGTGGTAAAGAGAAAGGGACTTAAATTAGGCCTCCGGGACCACACTCATCAGACGAAACACGGAACTGCTTCCATTTCACGCCTGTCTTCTGTGTGGTCGTGGTATTACACCGAGCGTGCCGGCCAATTCGTGCTAAGATGTTAAAGCGGGCACTACCACTGTTAAAACCACCTTGGCCATAATATCCTTTCGTTGAAGTATCTTGATATCCTGATAACTCATTTTATACATTAAGAGAGTCTGGATCCTTCTGACATTGATAGTATTATCGTCACATCTATGAGGTGTTAGCACTTGTTGTGTTAAGCATGTCAGATGGTGACCCAGCTGACCGCGGGACCTGTTTGCACCGTTGCGCGGACACGTAAATGAACCGTGTTTTTAGCACGATTATAAGTAGAATACGAAGGCGATACGAAATTAAGCTGTAGTTAGATTACATTACCTCTCACAACTGTCACTACATTGTGCGCGCCACTGATATATTAATCAATAACAATACACAAGAGTTTTAAATTTCCAGTCATATTGGCGATGTTGATGGTTGTATTATTATGCTCTCATGATCTGATATCGAGTTTACAAAGAGATAGGTGTGAACTTTTTACTAAAACTTGTTATCAAAAAATGCAGTCCGCATCAACATAATTACTCGTTATCGGCCAAAGACCTGCGGATAGAAAGCCATGCAAACAAAATGCAACATTCTTGGGTTAGTGAAACTGTTAAGCAATCACCTGTAATGAAATTAATGTAAGTGATTTTGTCTAACGAAAAATTGGAGTAAACCTTTTAAATATGTGACAGAAGATCGAACAATAAAATATATAAAAACATATAAAAAATTTTAGTTATGAGTTATTTGTTTTAGATATAAACAAAACCTAAGCTGACCTTAACACAAAGCTTTAAACTTTTGCGAATTACTAATACATTTTGTTACATCCTATTATAATAGAAGAATATATCGTTTATTGTTCTTCATACGTTAGATTAGGCAAAGTTAAGTAAGGTAAAATTAACTCCGAACACTTAAAAATATATGCATTTAAAAGCAACTGAAAGCGTTTTAAGTGCCATTTGGCTCATTACTGTCGTTGTGAACAGATAACCCATAGAACATTTACCATAAAAACGTGCGCGTTTTATTCAATTTGTAGTCGCACTTTAGTTAACGCTTTCACCTGTTTTTAAGCTATTACCACAAAAAGAGATTTTACAACTTACAGCTCTACTTGATCCTTGTTTGTTTACATTTGTTAGATATAACTGAACTCGTACGATGTGACCCACTGAACGAGATATTGTCGTAGTAACAAGTACATAGTTGCATTGAATGAAGTCTGCCCCAGGGTAGAAAGTTAACGTTTAAAGTCGTTTTCTAGAAAGTTATTCATTTAGATAGAATAGAACATTGTATCCATTTTAACCTACCTTCTTTGCCATTGAAATAGTCAAATGAAACATTACGTTTGCCAAAACGGACGCAAACAATAGCAAAGAATTATTCAACAGTTCCAGGGTATAATATCAGAGCGTCATTTACCTTACTGGATTCTCGTAAGTTCCGTTCGAATTTCAAAGTTAGCATGTAATTTTATCGCGTCTAAAAATTTAGATTTCTATAATAAAAACTAAGCCTGAGAAAAGCCCGCCAAGCAAATTCGGTAGAGTAGGAGATAAGACATACTAGCGCGTATACATACTCTATAAAAACATAATTACGCATTGTCATCCGGAAAAAATAACAATGTTCAGAAGATAGTTTATCAATTGTAAAAAATTAATTTATCTTGATACGCTCTCGCGAATGGGGTCTGTGCCCGTGGAATTGTTGAGGTCACCACGCTTTCTTAGGCCAAGTAATGGCGCCTTCATGTTTACAAGAAGCCAATTGTAACTGAAATGCACTTATTGCGGATTTAATTATTATGAAAATATTATTATTACTTTTATGAATAGTTGTATAAAACATGGAATTTAAAAGTAATCTGTGACAACGTAAATTGTTTTCCAATTTCCAAATGCAAGTAGCCTGTAGTGACGTGAATTTTTTCATATACAATGTAGTTTTCTCTTTGTATTTTTTTGCATACATTGCCCTAAAAATATGAACAATGTTATGTAATTGGTACTTGATTTTTTTCTTCCTTTACGTGTGACCGCCTGTTCAGTGATCCTCTCATGGAGACAAGTATTAAACAATGCTGAGTTCAAGTCAACTGACACGCTCTGCTAAACTTTCACTTACGTGCTGACCGCGGGTCAATGAACGCCAGAGTTTAAAATATTCGCCAATTTATTACTATTAATAACAAAATAACGCAACCAATTATTATCGCTCCTAAGTAAATACTTTTAAATAAAATTATTTTAATCTGTTCCTAATCTTATAATATCAATTACTATACCAAGGAATACCATGACATCGTTGTATATCACTGTACCACTCGTTATTGTTAGGTGTTTTTTCACATTTCACCGGAATAAAAAGCAAACATGCAGATTGATTAAATCCAACTTCGATAAGGAATATCCGGAGCACCGTTCAGTGTTGCAATAATTACCCCTTTCACAAGTTTGTAATTATAAAATCGTGTACTTTCGCTAAAATTTAACCTGCCACGGATCATTTCAATCACGAATCAATTCGAATTTGGAACGTTTCACGGAGATTAGAGCACCGCTGACGCTTTAAATAATTCGTTACGCACTGTCTGACGAAGAGCTGTACACGATGTCCAGCGGCGATAGAAGAGTTCTGCCTCACTTGAATAGCATGGTCTTCACTGGTAGGTTGCTTTTCTTTGCCTGTTTTACCATCCCAGGCTCTGCTAGACGACCAGCGGCAGGGTTCCTCCACTCAATTTCTTTGTTTCATAATCAAGAAATCTCTCGACAACTGGAGTTGACTGAGTGAGTGTAGCTAATTCATTTTAACGATACTTGCTTGGATACTTAGAACGTCGCCGTAGCGTTATTATGCAACAAATTTAGTCTGATAAACAGAGCGAAATCTTCGGTTTGTTGGTTGTTAACAACTTAATGATTAATTAAAGTCGAAGCTTTATCGATTAAATTTACATAAATAGAATTGGCAGAATTATTGTAACACGTTTTTCTTCGTATATATGAAAGTAGAAGCCATTAGAAAGTAAATGTATAGGTGCGGATGTCATGTATTTTTACATTACACATAGAAATCAATAAACTTTGAGAATTCACACTTAACAAAAGTATTTAAAAAATGTTGCGATCTTTCGAGTAATTTATACCTGGATCCTTTTTTTCTAAGCACGCTTTTTACACTCCGACATTGGAATGCAGCGTGGATGATGCATATCATATTGAAATTATTTCAGAATTGTATTCTGTTTAGTTTCTTTGAGTGAATATTGATTACATAATAACCATTACTTACAATAGCATTTTATCTCAAGATTGTTTAAATAAAAAACCCATAGCAGGTTTATTTAACTTTTATGATATAAATTATGATTAAAGAATTTATATTACAAATGGATGACGAAACCTGGACTTCATTTAAACATGCGTTCTGTGAGTTTATACGTCGTACGTCTAGATACACGTAAAAAGGAAAGAAACTGAATGACAATTTCGTGACCCTGAGTAGATATATATCAGGAGGAATTGCTACTTGATAGAACTTTATCACGGGAAAAATAAGGTGCGAATAAAAGATCTACCAGTAAACAGGCTCCCGCGATCGCACTGAGAGAAACTTTAATAATGACTTGTCTCTTGAGAGGCACTCCCAGCACTCCGAGCAGTTCGGCCACCACGTGCGTTAGCTGGCTGGCACTCTTCCATCTCCGATAGATGACTCCAGCATTGACCGCCAGCAAAGCAGCACCGGTTCCGCATATATATGCCTGCACCATATAGTATAGAAGACTTAAAACAATACAATTCAAATTGTATATCGATTTCACTTTAGCCTTATTAATTTAATATTGCTTGTAAAGAATCGAACAATCGGTCAATTGTTTTATATTCCGAGGCCAAAAACAGGTTCCAATCACATTTGTAAAACAATTAGAAAATATAGATACAGATTTAGAAGGAAAGAAACTTGGAATAGAAACTGTTTATATGGTAAAACATTTAAACATAAAAAAGCAGCTTTAGTGTTTGAAATGTTTACCTGGATAGCATTACCGCGGCAATTGGTAGAGCCGGCGCACAGGGCTAGTCCGAGCTCGGCGATGCAATACGCTATGACGACGCCACCCGTCACCGACTGCTCCCACCGGAACAGTCGCAGAGATCGCAAATGCACCGTCAGCATGCACGCCAACACCACCAAAGTACCCAGCCGCAGCAACAGCAGGGAACTTTTTAAAGCCGAGTCATTATCCCTTTGAACTTTTTCTATTATAGACATATTTTATCAAATAATATGTTAATATGTTATTATGTAATAATTTTATAAACATGACTTGGAAATCTAGTGACTTTTAGATGACATATTGCATTTTGTTGCCAAATTTGTTGCTATACGAGTATAGAGTTTGTTTTCTATTAACTATTTTTGTTATTCTTATACGAGTACAAGATTCAAATCGATTTAAATTATTGCAACTGTAATTATACTTAATCCAATTCCGAAAACTTTACAAGTTATACTTTTCTACAAAATAATTAAATTCACTCACTTTCGTAATAATATTGGCTTATTGATGCTGATTTATTGGACTGAACAATAGTAAAACAAACGTGGGATGAGAGTAGGAAGAGAAGAGTAGAGTGGAGTAGTAGAGTAGTAGGAAAATATCCTCTGGACTAAGAAACTAGGTTCAACCCGGCTCACTTGGGGGCCAGAGAACATACGTCTTGTGTCCTTTCATTCATATTCACCCTTCCCGTTGAAGTAATACAAAACCAAGAATCCGTGAAATCGATTCAGTACTTTCGGCGACTATTGACAGCAAACAAACAATAAAATAATTCCTCTTTATAATATTAGTACATATTAATTAAAATACATAAGATACGAAATGATTATATTAGAGGAAGTTTGAGTGTAGCCCCAGTGGTAGAGAAGGTAAGGAGTAAAAGGTTAGCATGGTATGGGCATGTTATGAGGAGAGATGAATGGCATGTTACAAGAAGAACGTTAGTTATAAGTGAGGAGGTATACCATTAGAGGTAGAGCTAGAAAGAGATGGATGGATTGAGTGAAAGGTGACATGATCAAGAAGGGAGTGATGACTGAGATGACGTATGACAGAGTTATTGGAGGACAAAAACTTGGTGTTTGAGTATGATAAGGAGATAAGGATAAGATGATGTTGATGATTAATTAAAATATATATTTTATGCAGGATACGCAGCAGCGACGTGTCGATTCCCCGGCGCGCCGGCGCATTCCCGCGTGGATTTCTCCGATGAGAATTTGTCGGAAGGAACTGTTGCCACCTACACTTGCGAGCGCGGCTTCGAGCTACTCGGCCCTGCTAGGAGGATATGTGCACACGATGGAACATGGAACCCAGACGGCATCCCATTTTGCGGTAAGCATAAAATTTCTTTATTTAGAAGTACTTAGTACTTAGATGTTACAAGAAATATCATAAAGTCGCGTTCGCGCTTCGGTTTCCGCACGAAAACGTCGCTGCGCTGACCCACTTTTACTTTCATCGTCGAGAAATCACTTCACATGAGCCGTGAATGAATTCGAAAAAGCGGAAGATTCATTGTGGATCACTCCCACGGCTCTCTCTGTTCGGAAACTTTCCGACGCTCATCGCTCACGCCCTTTGTTGCGAATGTTTCGCGAGACACTACCGGTTACACCTCACATTACCAATTATAAAACTAATAAGTTCTAATACCACATTAAACCAAGATTAACTAAGGAAATAGAATTTAAGTTGTAAACATTCCACTCCGATATTTGTTATAAAATCTGTCTTACAGTTAGTTTCCATATTGTTATCTATGTTCTAAGCAAACGACAAGGGTAAAAATAATGTTTTTGTACGCGTGTGGGCAATGTTCGGCAGTCGTTGGACACTTGTGGTTAGCTGATGTAAAATAATACGACATATGGTGGCAGCTTGCAACATCTAGTGATGTGTACGGTGATGTACATGAAATTCGATTCCGATGAAGTCACAGTTGAACAGTCTATAAAAAATAACGCCGTCAAAAAATCTGAAAAGGTAAAAAAATGCAAGTTTTTTTGCTGTTGTGACTATATTGGGTACGCGTAACATTTATGTATAATTCATTATCCCTATCAATGTGGCCATTTTTATGAATTGTACTTGTCATATTGCGTTCTGTAATTGAAAAAAAAATCCTGAATGCAATGTTATTGCGTCTAATATAATATTTGACCTGGTTATGAGCACAATGACACCTGTCGGCCGCCGCCCGCTGCCGGCCGCCGGCCACCTGTGGGCTCGAGCCGATTGTAGTAAAAGAATAATTAAATAATAGCACGAAGCCATACGCGCGGCGCCGATAGATTTTGTACCGTTACTGAAGTAGAAACCGGAACACAAAAGTGTAGGGTTCTAAAACATGCATATACATAACTTGTATCGTTGTTAATAAAGGCTCTTTGAGTCATCATTGTCTTCATTTGATATTAATTAAAACGTACGAGGCTTCGGTCGAGTAGTTATAAATTAATAAGCATTTTACAACAATAGCAAAAGAAGGTTAGTCACTGAAATCGAAATCGGAATACTCTGTAATCGGTCCAGTTGTTTATGAGATTATTCGTTTTAAACATATGAATACTAATAAAGATAGAAAATGTGCAAAATAAGGCTACTATCCTGAATTTACAACTAGTTACTCATCCAGCAGTATAGTCACGAAGTAATGTTTGTTTCTTCAATAAACACATAAGTGTGGAGTCAGTGAGCGCAACGGTCAACGGGTTCAATTAGAATCGATTTGAAATTGTAACTGTAAATTATAAACATCACAGAACTTTTGTAAAAATTGTGTTTTAAATTGTCAACACCATCAACCAATGGAGCAATATTTTTTAGTTGTTCTATATACTTGCTGGGGTGAACTGGGTTGTAGTAATCCATGACCTGTCTTCACGCCAAACACGCGGCATTAGTTGTTCGTCATTCATTCATGTCAGCCTTATAGTGGGACATATGATTGGGGGGAGGGGGTTAACAAGGAAAACAATAATGTAATAGATATGGTAATTGTATAAGAGTCTCAAGCCAACCTGCAAGAGTGCACAGGGCGCGACCGACTGTCACCGTTACCACAAATACTGCCTTACTTTATGAACGCCGTTAACCTTTAGGGTTGAACCAACTAAGAATAAAGGCTTAGATACTTCCTAGTTATTCCATTGCATTTATTAAACCTTTTATGAGAAAATTCAAATTAGAGTTGCGGCGACAAAATCACGTTTATACTCTACAAGATTACCCTCCGAAACACCTATTACTTTAGAGATAAACAAATAAACTGAGTTTTTTAGTCCGCTACCTTGAGTATAAACTAAGCTAAAAACCTGTCATATTGAATTTTATGATAATTAAATATTATTCATGCGAGTGTCAACCCTGGAGTGCGATAGTGCATGCCCCGCTCTTGATTATTACGAACGGTTCGCCTCAATAGGCGCTACTCCTACTCTACTCATTGTTTATTTGTGTTTAACATTAACCATGCACCCTAGCTTCAATTCCCGATTAATGTATTAAATAAAGACATATGCGGTATTGGAATAAAAATATTTATAAAAGCTCGTTGTCATCACATAACAGTAGAACATTACCTTTAGAACACGGCCTCACCAGCAAAAAAACAATGTAAAAGGCATCACACTAGTGAGGTTACGCACTTATAGGCAGCAGTGTGGCCACTGATACTGAGAAATAATTTTTTGTTAAACTCATCCACGGTTTCGCCAGTTGAAGCGAACTTTTCGGAATCGTTCCGCTTCGTCGATTGTACTTTCCATCTCAACAGCATTAGGCAGGTTTATATTTGGCCCACTGCCACGAATCATCAAAACACAGCAACTTTATAAGGCCATAGTAGATGTTTTAGACATGCGAGATTGCGATGTAAAGAGAATTGTAAAAAAATCATACATTTCCGTAGAGCTTTACTGACGTAACACTTGTTACCATCATCTTCTTCACATTCTTATCGTACTCCCATAGGGTCGGTTCACAAGTTTTTCGTCCTCCAGGTAAACCTATCATCCGTCATCTCAGTTCTCACTTGACAGATCGAATAGTTAGTTGGCAAGTCATAAAGTTGTAGATGTTTTTACGTAAAGATGTGAGGGCCATCATATTAGAGGTGCGCGTATTTGCGAGAAATGATCGCGATGAGCGACTAACGATTGCAATCGGCTACGGCCACGTAATTCAACATGTCGTATGCTGTCGTCATCGTAGTTGACACTGTCTTCAGCTCTAGTAGATCTTAGTACTCAGTATGTGGAGCGGAAAGTATTGTCTCGCTTTACATTTCACTCAACTTGAGCGGATTATAATGACACCAGTACAAGCATTAAATAGTCACATTTACTTACAACTCGTTGACGTCTCAACATGTTTTTTGACAAATCATTAAAGTGAAAGTCACTTCTCCTTTTGTACTTTTGCATTTATTAAAATTAAGTTTATATGGAAACCTAATTTTGTCGCCACTTTGGTCGATTCTCGTAGAAGTACTCAAAATAATCAACTCATTGTTTATTGTTCTTTGACTTCTATTTCTTGTACGGAATTTCCAATTATCTTTACATGTTCTTATTAGCATACACCATTAAAATTGCTAACAAAAGCGACTAGTGTGAAATTCCAAATTGTCATTGTTAAATGTTTCCACAGTATTAAACGTAGCGGCTGGAAAGGCGCCAATGCAGATCTCCACTGAGGAAGGTGGCGCTCCGCAGCGGGCGCTAGATGGCAGTACTTCCGCGGTGTTCAGTGCTGAGACCTGTACCCTCACAAAGACCGAGCGCGTACCTTGGTGGTACGTCAACCTGCTGGAACCATACATGGTTCAGCTAGTCAGATTGGACTTTGGCAAGCCTTGTTGTGGTAAATGGAATTTTTGATATTTATTTGAACAGGTGATAATTAGGGGCCTTGATAAATGTACTTCCAAGCGTATACTCGTATAAAAATGTGCAGCTTAGACATACATACATCGTTGAATGCCTAAATCTAAAGAGTCTCAACCCCCGCAGTCCCGCAGCCTACAGACTGTTCGATCGGATCGGACTGTCAAACCGAAATTATGTAAAACAAAATAGGTATTACGTGCGCATTTCCATACAACTTCATACTGATTAAGCGCCCGACTAAACGATTGGCCGATAAAAAGTATGCAGTGTGATTTTGTGTGTGTTGATTGCCACATACACTACAACAAAAAATGAACAATGTAAGTGCATCGCAACTACAGTAAATTATATTTACATAATATGACATTGAAATCGACCATCAGTCTATGAATGAGACAATTCGAGCATTCCTAATGCATTAATCTATTGTTGCATCAATGGCATAATTGTGCAGTGTAAGTCACAGTGGGCACCAACTTATATCTTAAACATTAGAAACAACTAACACTTTAGCTACATCCTGCAATTGCTATTGTTTTCAACTCTTCCTCTACCAAACAGAATGTTAATGAGTCACCAATATACCTCCGAGCCCAAGATTAGTCAGATGTTTAACTTATGTAAAGAAAACATATTGAAACGTATCTTCTAATACCTAAAGGATTGTTGTGACATGATACATATTTATTTCGTTGCAGGCGCCAATAAGCCAGCTGTAATTGTTGTCAGGGTTGGCAACAATCGTCCAGATTTAGGAACAAATCCGATATGCAACAGATTCACCGGCTTCCTCGAGGAAGGGCAACCTCTGTTCCTACCCTGCAACCCTCCGATGCCTGGAGCGTTCGTAAGCGTTCACTTAGAAGGTGCAGCTCCTAGCCAGCTGTCTATCTGCGAAGCGTTTGTATACACTGACCAGGCACTGCCGATAGAGAGATGTCCCCAGTTCCGAGATCAGCCGCCTGGCAGTACGGCAACGTACAATGGCAAATGCTACATATTCTATGATCAGCAGCCGTCAAACTTCAGGGACTCACTAGCGTTCTGTAGATCAAGAGGAGGAACGCTTGTTGACGAAAGCAATCCAGCGCTACAAGGTTTCATTAGCTGGGAACTGTGGCGTAGGCACCGGTAAGTCTTATCATTCCTTGTTTAAAAACAAAACGTGTATCAAAAAGAACATTATTTTTCAATCGTTGCATCGTTTGTAGTAACGAAATTGAATACAAATGCACAACTACATTTCAATGATAGAGATGTATTTTATTTTTTTAATCTTGATTTAACTATAATGTAATTTTCTGCAAAATGAATGAAGATGAAATAGGTGTAAAAGATATTTAAGACGAACTGTAGCCCGCAAACTTCGTTACGGCGGATATAAAAAAATGATCGTCTATAACATTCTTTAAGATACAATGTTACTAATATTATGTACAAAACTATACATTTTACGACGGAATATCTGTATTGATAAGAGATGTACATTTTAACAAATTGTAGAAAATCTTAGCTTGCGCACATTCCACTTACCACCGAATTATATCACACGACTGAAGCGAAATTGATGTTTAAAATGAGAAAGTGTTGATATTAAATACAGCCGCGGCGAATTCTTTACTGGAAAGTTCGAACTTGATTGACATTGATGAACGAACGTTTATATTTTTACGGATTTACGCATGTAAATACAAACTTGTGCATACAAGTACAACTTTTTATGCTGTCATAGCACAACAATTTGTACTATGACAGTATCACTAGTAAAAATTGAGGAATTGTATAACCAAAACATGTCACATTTTTATACCCACATAACAGTCCAATCAGTTTAGATAGGGAAATATTAAAAAAAAAAAACTTTTAAAAGAAATTTTAAAATTTAAATACAGGTATCGGGTGCTATAGTCCAAATTTGAAATGTTTTTGGAGATATGTGAATTACCACACAAATACCCTGACAAAGTATCTTTACCCTCAAAGAAATAGAATATGGGAATAGTAGTACAATACTATGTATATAAAACAGTTAGACAATAAAAATGCCATATTATGTGTCCTCCGTCGAATGGTTTATTACAGATCCGCTACGCGTAGCCGCTGCGTTGTTATTTGAGTCAATTTTATTGAGTGCCGCTCATCTTGACGTTGTGTACTATTTATTCCGTTAGCGAGATAAAATGTCATCATGAAACGGTATTAGATGTCGGTGTAAAGTTTAATCTAACTTCACCGTGGTCTAGCTTAAACGAAACGTGCTATTCATTCCATACTTACTACCTAAAGGTATTGAAAGATATGATATATGTAGGTAGTTAACACCGTCCAAATACATAACAATTTTACTACAATAGTAAGAAAAGAATATTTTAATCGTAATATTTAGAAAACGCAGCGAGAACGTTTTTCATTTTGAGCGATTATTTCAATTTTTTGTATGCAAAAAAATAATCGGCAATGAGAGAACTCAACATTTTAATTGAAATCTACAGAAGTGACAGTAGCAGCCAGTATTGGATGGGAGC